TGTAGGTTAGGGTTAATTTAGTTTAACGTTACATTTTATGTTTTACTTGAATAATATACTACGCACTTTTTCCAATTAGGTATTTTGTTAATTTGTAATAGGTTAAGTATCTTTGCGATAAAACTGCTACTTACTAATATTAAAAACAAAAATTGTGAAAAGTAAAAATATTGTCATAATAACATTATAATATTTACATTCTTTAATTAGTTGTAAACTCAAGTAATTTTGATAATATCTTAAATTTTACAAGAGTATGTACAAGTAATTCGTTAACATATAATGTAATAAATATTTTAAGTACGCACTAAAATTATAAACTAACATTTTACGCGTTTAACAAGTGTATATATACATTATTTTATATACATATTTTTTTTTATAGCTATTTTAATAAAAAAAATAAGTAATAATAACGGAATAGTTTACTGTTTGAAAATAGTAAGGTTTCTTTTTGAATTGAATTAAACGCATTAGTTAAAAACAGGGCTGGATTTTGGTTTGTACTGCGCTATTTGTTTAAAATTAAAGTTGACAACAGCTGTCATTCAAATGACAACTGTTTTCAAATTTTTTTATAATTATTCCAAGATAAATTGTTAAATATTCACGATTATTACATTTTTAGGAGTTTAACTTACTCGAACTGTAAAGTCTTCATATTCTCTAGATAATGCCACATACAACATCATACAACGCCACAACGCATCATACAATATCATACAACGCCAAAACGGATCGTACAACAACATACAAAGGTCATGGACTATTTGACTACATATTGAGGAATCAAACCTAATTGAATTTTGGTTGTTGTCTATAATAACAAAAGCATTCTCAATTGTTATTATTTAAATTAAACTAAGTAATTGTTTTTCGATTTCTTAATTATTTATACTAAAATAATTTAAATCCTTGGTATAATTACATGGTAGTAAATATTTAAAAATTGGCACTTTCATATACCCTATAAAAGACCAAGAGCATAATCCCTACACTGATTAAAAAATAAAATATGGCAACTTAACTATACGGAAATAAAAATTTTTGCATAAGAATATACGATATACTCGTAAACACACCAACATGCAATAAATAAATATTTTAATAAAGTACATGAAATTTAATTAGGAATTTTTAATGATAAGAGCAGGTCTTGTTAAAATAAATGTGCGTAATATCAAAATTTCTTTATATGTACTCAAATTGAATATATCTAAAAATCTATGTTATAAAAAAAATGTTTATAAATTTTAAATTTATTTTTTATTTTGAAATTTATTAAATATTTTTTATGTTTTTTCAAATTAAAAAATTTACTTATGACACAGAATTTTTCTTATATTGAAACTTGCAATACAACTAACAACTAGTATGCTATATTGGTATTTTGGTTTGAATAAAGGGTGTGGGTTTAATTTCTGTTTCTAATGAGGATCTTTAAAATTTATTAATAATTTAATTTGATTTCACGATATAAAATTTTTAGTTTATTAAAAATTAACTAGGTTAAATTATTCATGTAAAATGATTATGTTTCAAATCATTGTTTCAATTTTAATGTGAAAATAGAAAAAATAAATAGTCCCAGCTTTATGATTGTGTTTCAAATGGGAGTCTCACTATTCCACTTTCAAAAATAAGACTAAATAAACTTTTTAAATTTATTCCTTTATAACTACAACCGTGTTAATTGTTTTGCAAACTCATTGGAAAAGTACAAGAAAACCGTAATACAAATATAAAAGTACTTATACTAAGATCCTAAGCACGATGCAGAAGCAAACCTTTTTTTTTTGTTTATACCAATTTTTTTAACATATGGTAACCAAACATCAAACTATGAAAACCATTTTTCTTAAAATTTATTTTTAGAAATTAAATCATCTAAAATAAAGGCAAATCCGAGTGTGTGTGTGTGTATAAGTGAAATCTGTCATTTTTAAAACTATAACTAAATAATATAGTAATTATATTTAAATTTAGAATGCTCAGAAGCAGGCACTCAAACGAATATGGGACTCTTATGAAAGACAATAAAAAAATTGAAATATCCTTAAAATATTTTTTTTTTGTTTTTCATCCTCAACTAACTATACATATATAATAAATATTTGATTTATGATCTGAACCTCAAGTCCAGTGTATAAATAAAGGTCAAATAATATATCCTTACTTTTTGTTTTTGAAGGGAGAAGGACGAGAATAAAAACGATAGCTAAATGTATGAAGTAGGGTTTTTTTCGCCAGGGTTTAAGAAAGTACTTCTTAAAGTAAATATTTAGTTAAAAGAAGGGTATTAAAAATTTACATATGTAGATATATATGTATATAAATAATGATGAGCAACAATAACATCATAATGTACACATATAGATGCATATTTCTTACTCCTACGAAAAAAATGTATTAACTAAGAAATTTCAATTTTTTGGGTTTGAAAAGAAATAAAAATTTTTGGATCTGACAATATAAAACGTGTTTAACTAAATTAAAAAGTCACCAAATTTATCATATATTATAGATATGAAAGATGGCGAACGTGTCCAATTCATATTTTGCTTGACATGTGTCAAAAATTCTCTTTTAGAATTAATATTTTCGAATGTGTTTGTGAAGGAAGAGTAAATAATTTCATGAGAATTTTAACAGCATACTAAATATCATTTTGAACGAAAGATAGTGCGAATTGTGATTATTACATTTGTACAATAAAACATCTTTCCTAATTTTTGATTTTAAAATAGAAATTGTTGGTCAAATTAATGTCTTTCTGACGTGAAATACGTAGGTATTTTTTAGTGGCATGACATTTCATTACGGCAATAATATGAACTAGAAAACAATAGGAATTGATTGCAAATATAATTTAATTGATTTACACAAAAAAAGGAAAAAAATTTTACTGACAAATAAAGTAATATAAAAACGCTGTAAATGTCATTTAGTTTTACACAGAAGTCTATTAGATTTCCATCTGCCAAAATGTTGGTTTTAATAACATGATGTCAATAGATGTGTACTAACTCTTTAATGTCACCGCCTGATAAACTATGACCAACAAAATTAATTTGAATAATCTTGTATGTCGCATTCATACAATTTCTATTTTTATGAATTGAAGTATTAAAAGTCAAATCGAATTATTTTTATTATTGAGAGAAATTTAATATTAATTTAGAAATTTACTCTTAAGTGACAAATTAACTATTTGTTTTTTATAGGTCATTTATTTTATAATCTTAAATAGAAATTAACAGCGCGCGTGTACTTTCAATTGAAATGCACTTTTACTTTGGAAAACCGCATACGATAAGACAATATTATTGACTTATGGATTAAAAATATTTTTCACATGTGTTAACGTTATAGTGTAAAAAAACGCAATAAAAATATAATAAAAATTTTAAAAAATATTATAGAAAAAAAAAAACATAAGGTAACTACTTACAAAAATAAATATCATTAAAAAGTAATATAAAAAATTTTTATGCTAACTATTTAAGCACTTATCTATCTATAATGATGGCAATGATTGTAAAAAAAATCTATTTAGGTGGGAAATTTTCATTTTATTGATTACAACTAATTTTAAGCTGTAATAAAATTATTGAGAGATTAATTAAAATTTTTGTAATTTAAAAATATTGTAAAAATCACTTAACATTAACCCATTAAAGACCACATTGTGTTCTTTCAAATTTTTTAATTGTTGACATATTTTAGCTAATAATTAGTTAAGATTTGTTGAAGCATGGTTTGGTTTTAATATTTTGGTAGATTTGATTTTATATTTTAATTGCTTTTTTTCACATTTGGAGATAATTTTCGTTACAGGAGAATGAACTCCAATGTGTTTTAAAATTAGTACTTTAAATTAAGGAAGGGAAATTTTGTTCTTAGTTTTTATATTGATAATATTGATTATACCAATTATATATCACAAAAAATATATGTATCTTTATGTGTGATATTATGTTTTATCATAAGAAATATCCCTATTATAACTTAATTAATAATTATACATAAAAATATTGAATATTTTTGTAAATTTGATACGTCTTTCATTAAAATTTTTCGATTTAATTAACTAATAACACGCCACATTGTAATTTTACCTGTTGATTATAGCAGTAACAAATATAAATTATAATCAACTATATACAAGTGCAAGAATATATTGCCTACTCAAATTACAGTACTTTGAAAGAGAGAGTGTCATTGAATTTAATCAGTCGAATTAATTTAAAATTTCATTTTTTTTTCTTTTGGGCAATTGAAATTTAATAATATTTTGTAAAGATTGTAATTTGAGAAAACTATATAATTTTTTTGCACAGCAGGACTGCAAATGACAAAATTTTTTCTCCTTTTTTGAAAAATTACATTTAAGTAAATTCGTTTATTTTCGTTTTCAGGCAACCATTAACGCACATATACATATGCAAAGTAACATCTTTTTCAAAAATCGAGTTGAGCAAAATTTCTTTGGATATGGTAAGTTTTTAAGAAAAAAATTAAAATTTTAAGCTATATACATATATATGTTCTTCATTATCCTAATCTCCCCAAGTAGAAGAATGTTATTTTGTAATTTCAGATACAGATTTAAATATTATAAATTTTGAATGAAAATTTAGTTAATTTGGTCTCAAATTTAATTTGACACCATCAACAGATATTGAAAAATTATATATATTAATTAAGCAAATATATTTTGGTCAGTTTTAGTCATATTACTTGAAATTAAGTAACATGAAAACTTAATATACAATCAGTCTACACTGTCATTCAGCTTTTTAGACTCACTGAAACGGAAATTCAATCACATCATCTAGCAGCCAAAATTTCTGTTGTGGAAAATGGCACCTGTATTTCTTATATTTCAATTTAGCCTTGTTGGAATTTCATTGAATATATATATGTAATTATAAACGAACACACTCACAAACATTTCTTATTCCATTTTATTAAAATTATAAATATAAAATAAAACTTACCGTCTATGAAGATTTGTATTTATTTTTTTACAAATTTTTTTAAATCCATAAAATTTTTGTTATTTTAAATTTAATATCATTATTAAATTATTAAATTTAATATAATATTAAAAATTATTTTTGCGTATTTATATTACAAATTGACTTAAAAAATTATATTGCCATTTTAATTCAATTAAATAAATTCTTGTTTTAATTATTTAAAAAAAAAAATTAATATTTTATTAATTAATAAATTGCCTTTAAATATTTTTATTTAAAAAAAATTTAATTTTTTAAGTACTTCACTTTTGTTATTAATTAAATTTTTTAAAATCAAATTAATTTTATTTAATTAAATTAAATAAAACATTAAAGTAAAAACATATTTAAAGTAATAATTTCGAATTTTTTCATTATTAAAATACCAATATATATGTACAAAATAATTAATTGTGTACAGTGTGTAAATTCATTAAATAAAATTCTGTTATGTTTAAACTGTTATTTACCGTTATTAAACAAATTATCTCTTTTTTTTTTTTTTTGCTTTATTATTTTCGTTTGGTTTCACTTAAGATTTTTTTGGTTAATATTTATGTGAGTTTAATGTGTGTAGAGAGAATTAAATATACATAAATTTGTAGTTAACGTACTTAAATATGTGATATGCATAAAAAATAAATATTTTTTGCTTTTATTTCAATTTAAAAAAAATTTAATATGCGGGTTAAAATAAAACGAATATGAGGCTTTAATAGTACTTAAAAAATTTAAAGTATCTATATATGTATATGTATTTAAAAAAATATAAATTTAAAATTTGGTGATGACCATCAATGCAACTTCACACTCCTATTATGTTTTTATTATCTTTATGCATAAACTATGTCTTCTATATCACTTCTTCTTTTTTTCTCTAAAATGTCAAACACTTAAAATGACACGATTATTTCACTAAATTGTGTAAAATATTTAAAAAAAATCAATTCAAAGAAACAATATCAAAATATGTAAATACTTGAAATTTTTTTGTTCGTACAAGGGGAAACTATAACTGCACTCTTATAAAATCTGTAACACATACATTTATTTGTTTTTATTCCCAAAATTATAAGTGTATACTCTTTTATTGTATTCACTCTCTGAATTTCGAATAACAACAGTTTTTCCCTATTTATTAATTTATATTATTGCTGTTCTTATAATTATCATAACACAGTAATAATCTTAGAATCACTGCACAAACAATAATTAATTTAGAGGAAAAAAAATAATGCGAACAAATTTAAATGACAGGCAAATATCACTATTTTCGATTATTTATTTCGATAATCAAATATTTTATTATAGAGAGAGGGGTTGTTGTAAAAGAGAGCTTTTGTTTGTTATATTTTATTCCAATTTGAAATTCGATTTTCTATAAATTTAATAAACCATTACAAATTTTATTAAATATAATTAATTGATCATTTAGTTTTTTTTTTTACCAATAGTTATTTTCACAAATCAAAAAGTCTAAAAAATTCAAATAATTTTTTTAATGCAATTGGTTTGAAATGCGGGTTGATATTTTCAATAATATTAAAGTTATTTTTATATTTATTGCACAAAACAAATTCAATTTTGTTTAATATTTTGGTTTTTATGGCACAGAATTTATTTAAAATTAATTTCATAAAAATTTTAAAAATTTCTGTCAAAATTTTCACAAATCTAAAATATTTTAAAATTTTGTATATTTTTTTTAATTTTCCATTTATTTTCTTGAAATTTTTCACCAGATGACGTTTTTAATTTTTCAAAAAAAAAAAAAAAAATATTTTTTTGTATTTTTTTTCCACAAAATTCTAATAATAACATTCAATTTTGTTTCATTTCAAAAAAGAGAAAGAAATTTCCTTCATACAAAAATCTTCCGCTTAAGTTTTCAAATGTGACTTTACCGTTTGCGTTTCAACGCATAACTGAAAATAACGATCAATACACAGAAAAACACCAAAACAAAAAATAAAAAACTTTTCTTCTTATGTTTTTTGTTATTGTTATTTTTTTTTATTTTATTTCCATCTTTCAATATTCTCAATACAAGCGATCAACAGTTGAATAACTACAACAAAAAAAATTTTTTTATAAAAATATCCTTAGAATTTCGAAAATGAAAAAAAATTATTATCACATTAATATTTTTAAAATGTACGAATTTTATTTTATAAAGAATAAAATAAAATATAAAATTGAATAATTAAATATTTTGAAAAAAAAGAAAAAAATTCAAAGCTACGACGCTACGCCACTGATTGTGTTCTAAGGCAGGATGTATAATAAATTTTTTTTTGATTATCTTTTAAGAAAGTGTTTCTAGGTTGGTTCCGGATAATTTCAAGATTAGCAATCCTTAAAATTGAAATTGATTTCAACCACTAATCAAATGATTGAAATTTTAAGTCAGCAATTAAGGCTCAAATTTTGTGTTTGACATTTATACAAAAAAATTTTTATAAAAAATTTAATCAAACACATTTGTTTTCATACACATTTTCAATTTGCAACTTCTAACTAGAATATTTTACGATTGATCTTGACGATGATGTGAACACTTCGCTTTATAGTTCGCTACTGGATAGCATAAAAATATTCTATAAATTTACTATACGAATTGAATAGATAAATAACGTCAAGTCAAGTGAAGAAATAAAACGAATAATCAATGAATGAATGAATTGAGTAGAAAAAATAAAATAAAAATAATAATACACGAGTTAAATTCACACATGTATGATGGATAAGTACGAAGTATGAATATGTTTGTTGATCGTCTTATATTGAAAATAGTAAAGAAAAAGGTAAAAAGCGATCGGTACGATCAGATTAACAACACTCTATAGAAAAGGGGAGTTGAGAAGGGCCAGTTTTTTTTTCATTTTTCAATTTTTTGTTTATAAATGAAAATAAAATACAAATATAAAATAAAAAATAAAATACGAAAATTCAAAAAAAAAAAAGAGCAAAATAAATTTTTGCCGGTTTGTTTTGATTCTTGAAAAGCGGCGGCACAACACAACTAGTGAATTGTAATTTGTAATTTTTTTCTCTTTTTTTATTGTTCTTTTTGTTTTTATTCGAAATTAAAAAGAATCGCAGTATGAAATCGAAAGAAAAAATTCGAAATTGTTGCGCGCGCATTTTATTTTTGTTTACGTATTTTCGAACATTCATTGGATAAAGAAAGAGAAGTAAAAGAATATTTTTTTAGTGTTGTTTTAGTTTTATTGAAAATGTTTAGAAACTTATCATGTTGCTGGAAATTTTTATATGTTGAGTTCGTTTAGCTGTTTTTTCGAATATTGTTATCGTGTAATTATTGATATTAAGAGGTTAAATTGTTGTTTATTTATTATTTTTATTAAGATAGTCTAGTTGCAAATTAAAAATCGTTCATGTTGCTAGAAGTAAGATAACAAACCCTACATAAATATTTGTAATCAGAAGCAATCAGAAAAAAGCTTCTGTTTCTTGTGATATTTGTGGGTAATTTAGAGTTAGAAGTTCAGCTCTTTCATTATAGTCTCGTCTGTCATGAAAATTTTTTTTGATGAAAATTTTATACATTGTCTGACAAACACTACTAACGGTGGATATTCTTATGTAACGGTGAGGTCTTTCAAAATCCAATATTTTTTCGGAAAGGATAAAAAAATTTTCATTAGATATAATTTTGATAATCAGTATGTTCGAAAAAATTCAGTCGAAAAGAATTTATCTTTCCAAGAATTGTCCCCTCTAGTTTGTATCTATACGTAACAATGTCCCCACTAGTTTTTATCTATATAATTACGTTAGATGGTAAACAAGTAATCATAACGGCATGATTTATATATTTTCATAGCAAAGCATGTGGATTTTTGAACAACATTCCCATCCCCATGCTTTGGATCGCGAATTATTGTGTTATATGCGAATTATTTGTAACTCATATTTATTTTTAATTCTAATTTTATACAATATAAAAATAATTTTTTGTTTTATTTTAAAAATTAAAAATAACTTTCTATGAATTAATTTTAATCCTTTTAGTTGGCTCACTTTATTCGCGTCGACGCCCTAAAATTTGTTGAATACTTGTAATATAACATGAAAAATTTTTTAGCATATAGCATGTAATTTTTTTTAATTTCATGTCTTTAAATTAAAAATTTACCACAAAAAATCCATAACAATTCAAAATGATCAAAGCAAAATTTCCACAAAAAGCTTTAAAGGAACTAATAAAAAAAAATTAATGTTGTCTTTATTGCCATCTAGAAATAGAGAAGAACCTTTATAACATAACATAATTATAGATAAATGCATATTTTATAAACGCCTGAAAATTATGTATGAACAGCAGAACTATCTAAAATAAGAGTGCCCTCTATACACAAGAAAAGGCTAGGATAAAGGAAAAACAACTTAATATAACGAAAAATGATGTTTTCAATGTCATAAAACCAGGAACCACTTTAGTTAATAAAAAAAAAAACTAAAATGTTGAATAAATAATAAATTCCCTCTTGAAAATGTTGTTCTTTTCCTTAATGTATTTACGATATTATTTACGATATCATTTACATATTATTACAATTGCATTGTTGAAATTTTGTTTTTTTTTCTCTTTAATTCCCTTATGTTGTAATTTAGTAAGAAATTTTTAAATTCTTCCATAGCAGCTCTTTATTCCTTCTTGTTAATTCTTTCATTTCCATCTGCACCATTATAGTAAGCGTGCAGTTCTATATGATTTACTTAACATCCGTTTCAAAATGAGAAATAATAATAATAAAAAGAGGAAGAAAATGTTCATATAGAGGAATAAATGTTCATATTTTTTTTTATCCACGCTTTTCATTTCGGAAGTTAATGTTTTCCCATATTTCATAAATGTTTCATTTGTTTTGTTATTTCGCTTAAGACGACTAGTTTACTTCACTAAAATTATCTGCTTTTTTTTTATTTTTTTAAGACGACGCACTAGTTCTTCTTAGTTCTTAATAATAATTACAATTTCTACACAAAATTAAGAAGAAAAGAATAGAAGAAGAAGAAATATATGATTGTAGAGTACGTCTTCAATGAATTATTACGATTCCCCATACTCATTTTGTATTATAATATTCTTAATTTCATAGTT